GTTTGAGTTATTCACGCAGTAACGTAATAATATTACTGTATATTATTGTAATATTACTGTAAACACAATAATACTATTGTGGTTGACGGTAATATTACTGTTGTTATAGTAATATTGTTGTCAACCACATCAATATTATTATTTTGTTTGGATTTTTTGTTTGAGTTATTCACGGAGTAACGTAATAATATTACTGTCTATTATTGTAATATTATTGTGGTGGACGGTAATATTACTGTTGTTATAGTAATATTACTGTCACTCACAGTAATATTAATTCTTTTTGTTTTTTATTATGTTTACATTTGTTGAACGGTCAACATAGTAATATTACTCTGTTACACAATAATAATGAGTTTGTTGTGTTAATATTATTGTGCTAGAGATTAATATATCAATATTACTGTGTAAAACTGTAGTTTAGTTAATTTTACTGTGTTTAACAGTAATATAATTAATATTACTGTCAATCACAGCAATATTGTTGTTTAAACGAAAAAAAAAGTTACAGAAAGAAAGAAAAGAAGAAAAAAAAATAAAAAAATCGAAAAAGTCAACGCTGGAAACCGGCAAAAAAATCCGGAAGAAAAAAAATAAAAAAAAAATCAAAAGTCAACGCCGGAATTGGGCGGGAAAAAAAAAGTTTTTGAAATTTTTTTTTTGGGTCAAAATTGAATACTTTGTGAAATTTGGGGTCAAATTGAGGTTAAATAAAGTTAAGGATGAAATTGAAGCATATTAAAGTATGAGGGGTTATTTTAGACCTTTACAAAAATCTGAACCATGTGTGGACTTATTGATAAAAGAGTTTTTTGTCTTGATCTCTTTATGAATAAGTACCCATGATGAGCTTATTTGTAAAGACCCCATAATATAATTCAAACTTGATTCAACTCACAAGTGACTCGATTTGTCTCTAATAAAATCGTTGGAACCATCGGAATTTAGGTAGATGCGACTCAATTGACAGTCCTAAAAAAAAGAGCAAAGTATTAATGTCCCATTTATTATAATACGTTATCATCACGAGATTTTGCTCGTTAGGGATTTGTTATTTTCGTATTCTTTTTTCTATTTTATTTTACGAAAATCTAGATCCTCAATCTATTGTCGAAAAGACAAACGAGAATGATGAGCGAATACTTCAGTATTTTATACGCTGTCATTCTCAAAGGATATGATGGATTCGTGTATAAATATATATATATATATATATATATATATATATATATATATATATATATATATATATATATATATATATATATATCATATATATGTTGGATTGCTGTTGAACTTATATTTGCTGGTAAATGAAATACACCTCCGAGTTTAAGCTCGTTGAGAAAAGAAAGCCGATTTAGAGGCTAAATCATAAATATATCTCCGAGCCTGAAGCTCGTTGAGTGAAGACGTGATAATATCCGTCAAAAGCCGATTTAATGGCCAAATATCTGAATATATCTCCGAGCCTGAAGCTCGTTGAGTCAAGACGTGATAATATCCGTCAAAAGTCGATTTAAAGGCCAAATATTTGAAAATAACTCCGAGCATGAAGCTCGTAGAGTCACTAAACGAGGTAAAATCCATCAAGAGCCAACATAGAGGCTCATAATTACAAGCCCACATTTAAAGGGCTTGGGGTTATTTTGTACCCAAATATATAATCTCTCTCGGAAGATGTCATTCCGAAGATTGAGCTATTTTGAGTGTATCCATGTATAATCTCTTTTGGATGATGTGATTCCCAAGATTGAGTTGGTTTGAATAACCCACATGTAGATATCTCCCTTGGAGGATAAATACCCGAGGTCGAGCTGATTTTGATACACGTACATGAAAAATATGGACAAATATGACTATTTCCTACTCGATAGTGCAACTACACACTCAATATTCAATAATAAAATATATTTCTCGAGTGTGACTTTGTACAAGGCACAAGTTAAAACCATAGCCGGTTCCGCGGAAATAATAGATGGCCCCGGGAACGCAACAATTGTGTTGCCTAATGGTACCACTTTGCATATTGAAAATGCATTGATATCCGGTAGATCAAATAAGAATATACTGAGTTTTAAAGATGTGAGACGCAATGGGTATCATTTAGAGACACTGGTTTAAAATACCGTGGAGTGTTTATGCGTCACATCATATGTCATGGACAAAAGAATTGTTCATGAGAAGTTCGAAGCGACAGCTTCTGGACTGTATTGTGTCCAAATTTGAGCTTTCGAATCCTACGCCACTATGCCATGGAAACTTGTTAATCCCGATATACACGGGTTATGGCATGATCGACTGGGTCACCCAGGAACGACTATGATGCGTAGGATTGTACAACATATTAAAAGACATCCATTAAAAGATACAAAAATCTTGATGACAAATGAATATTTCTGTGAATCATGTTCACAAGGAAAGCTCATTATAAAACCTTCCATTGAAAAGGTCGGTTATGAATCACCATCGTTTTTACAACGTATTCATGGTGATATTTGTGGACCAATATACCATGCAAGTGGGTCATTTAGATATTTTATGGTTTTGGTGGACACATCTTGTAGATGGTCCCACGTATGCTTATTATCTATGCAAAATGTTGTATTTGCGCGTTTGCTAGCACAAATTATTAAACTCCGAGCACATTTCCCTGATTATCCCATCAAAAATATAAGGATGGATAATGCCGGAGAATTTACATCAAAAACTTTTGATGAGTATTGTGCAGCACTGGGAATAAATGTCGAGCACCCAGTAGCATACGTTCACACTCAAAATGGACTGGCGGAATCTCTGATTAAACACGTCCAAATAATTGCTCGTACTTTGCTGATGAGATCTAAACTCACTAGTGCAGCATGGGGCCATACAGTATTGCATGCATAGCACTGATTAAATTACGTCCCACTGCTTATCATATGCATTTCCCAATACAATTGGCATCAGGCTTTGAGCCTGATATTTCGCACCTTCGCACATTTGGTTGCGTTGTGCAAGTGCCAATTCCTCCTCCTCAGAGGACTAAAATGGGTCCCCAACGCCGCATATATTTTGGGTTTGATTCACCATCGATTATTATGTTCTAGGAACCAATGACGGGTGATTTATTTACCGCTAGATTTGCGGATTGTCACTTTGATGAGACATTATTTATACCGATTGGTAATGATATTCAGAATATCCGTGATAATGATAAACATAAACCAATCGAGAATCTCACATGGTGTGAGCAACATTTTTCTCATCTAGACTCACATACCTCTGAATGTGAAAATGAGATCCATAGAATCATTCATTTACAAAATATTACCAATAGACTTCCTGATGCATTTAATGATGCCAGTAAAGTAACGAAGTCTTATATTCCAGCTGTGAATGTTCCAGCTAGGACCGCTGTTCCTGAAGAACATGCGAAAATGAATGATGATCCCCCACGACAAAAACGTGGTAGGCCTATTGGATCAAAGGACGTTGTTCCTAGAAAAAGAAAGGGGAAAATCAATGAACCCTCAAATGAGGCGGTTCCTAGTGAGATGAATCTGTTGAGTCTGAAATCGAAAAAACGATATCAAATCCCGGGAACACCGAGAATCCCATAAGTTATTGCAATGAAATATGAGATAGAAATGATATACTCATCGATAATATTTTTGCATTCTCGGTTGCACAAGAAATTATGTTTGATGATTATGATAGTGAACCTTGTTCCATAATGGAATGCCGCCAAATAAATGATTGGCCTAAGTGGGAGGAAGCAATAAAATCTGAATTGGCTTCCCTAGAAAAACAGAAAGTATTTGGGCAAATCGTTCAAATTCAGGATAATGTAAAGCCCGTTGGGTATAAATGGGTATTTGTCCGTAAGAGGAACGAGAACAATGAATTTGTAAGATATAAAGCCCGCCTTGTAGCTCAAGGTTTCTCCCAGCGGCCAGGGATTGATTATGATGAGACGTATTCACCAGTGATGGATACAATCACTTTCCGTTTTCTTATCGATATGGTTGTCCAAGAGGGACAGGACCTGCGTCTAATGGACGTTATAACGACCTATATATATGGTTCACTAGATTCATATTGAAAGAATTTATGGTCCCGAATTCGTATTATACAGAGATGTTATCTAAGATGTTATGACACTTGAGACAACATGCAGCGGAAATATAAAGATTAAAAGCCAATGCTCAGAATTGAAAAATGTTCACAAGTAAATACTTGTGAACTTGCCCTTTACAGGACGGAAAAAATATATTAAAATTAGTATTCTAAGAATACAAACAGAAGAGGTGCGAAAACTTCTTCCTTATGAATGAATCTTTTTCAAGATCACTCTTACAATCAAATCTAGATACTAAAAGAAAAATATTAAAAATTCTAGATTTCAAAGAATGTACTCATAAGGAGTACGTACAACAGATCCTAGAAAACACACTAAAATTCTCGAGATTAAAACTTCAGCTCTATATTGTTTCCTCGAAATCTGTAGGGTTCTTGAGTCTTGAGTTTGGTATTTATAGACTTGCCAAGCTTCCACTCCTCAGCCCATGATCTGCAAGAAAACCAACCACAAGAGCACTCAAGATAATGGGTTAGTGGGTTAGTTAGGAAGTTAAAATAAAACCCACAATTAAACCCACTAATCACAACTTAACACACTAAGTCATAACACTTAGCCCACTAAGTAATAACTAAAATTTAGTTTGAAAGTAAGAGAGTTAAAAAACACTTTTGTAAAATATAACAACGTGTTTCAAACTCCCCCTTTTTAACTTTCTGATCAAAACTAAATTTTAGCTAGAACTCCCCCTGAGATATTGCTAGAACTCCCCCTGAATTTGAAAATATCAAAAATAATATAGAAAGATAAATTCAACACAAATTCAGCAAGATAGTCCAACAAAAACTTAAACAAGAAATAATCAAAGTGCAGTCCTAATTAAAGGTTCAGGGGAAAAATAAACAACAGAACAGAATCAAAATATTGTTCATGAAAACATTTAAAGTAGAATCTCCAAAGTCTCTTCAGTGTTAGCTGCTGCTCCTCCATCACCAGCACTGGATCCACTGCTCTCCTCTGCTTCTTGATCTTCACCCTCATTCTTTGCTCCCCCTTCATTGACTCCTCCTTGCCCTCTGCCTCTGGCATCCAAAGGGTGAGAAGTTCCAGCTTCAGCCTCATGACCTTTTTCTCCCCCTTTTTGATCAGAAAGAGCCTTTTGGAGCATGTCCACCATGGTCTGGTGATAGGTAATCTGAGCTAGAGAGTGAGTAAGCTGTTGTAACAGAAAATCTCTAGGAACAGACACAAGAAGGTTAGAAGTGTTGTCAACATTGGGAGCAACACCTTCAGTACCCAGATTATTTTGACCTGATTCACTTGAGAGAAAATTATCTCCATTCCAGGGAAGGTCTTGGACATGAGGAGCTCTTAGAAAGTTTTGAGATACAGTGATCATGCCTTGTGGAGTGTGAAGATACTCAGAGTCATCTTGGCCCAAGTTTTGAGAGAGTAAAATGGAATAGATGAGAGAAGGATAAGGAAGATGAGTAGAGGGTGAGATTTTCTGGGCAAGATGACCTATAGTATTGAAGAAGAGTTTGCCAAAATCAACTGGTAATCCCATCCCCAATTTGTACATGAGTACTGCATGAGGTTTAGTTACCACAGAGACATTTTTGGATGGAATCCAATTAGTCACTGTGAGTCTAAACAGGACAGAGTAAAAAGCAGTGAGTTGGGAAACCTTAAATTTTCAGGGGTGTGCAGGCCAATTTCTTAAACGGTTTCCAGAGATAACTTTACAAACCTCATTAAAATCACCATAATTATCCTCATCTATCACAGTAGGAGTTTGTAAATGAGAGTTGATAATTTTGGGAGAGAAAGAGAAGATTGAATTTCTAACAAAAACTTTGCCAAAGTTTGGAGAGTTTTTCTTTAAAAAAGAGGTTTGCAAGTTGGCATAAAACTCCTTCACAACAGTGGGATCATAGGAGCAGGCAATCTCAATTAGGCTAAGAATATTTCTTTGATGAAGAAAAGCTGTGATTCTATGCCTATCAAACTCTTCCTTGGAAATTTTCTTTTCCTCAATGAATTGACAATTCATGACTTGAGGACTCAAAATGGAATCAGATTCAAAATAAAAATTAGGACTGAAGGCATTGTTTACCTCAAAAACGGTTGACAAATTCTTCCCATCCAAGTCTGGTTCTTCTTCTTCTTCTGAGGTGTCTTCATCTTCTGAATCTTCCAGTTCATCTGGAATGTATGCTGGTTCAGGTGATGCAGCAGGTGGGACAACATCTTCTTCCTGCTGAGAAGAGTCTTCAGAAGATTCACTGTCTGAATCTGAAGATGGCAATTTTTTGCGAAATGCAGCAAGAGGAACCTCCCAGCTGTCATCACTCTTCTCTGGTTCTTCAGCTTGAGGAGCAGATGTATCTGCTTGAACTGCTGCTTCTGCCAGGGTTTCCAGAGGGTCTGCATGAGGGACTGATGGAGTTTCTTTAGTAGTAGTGAACTCCTGAGCATCAACAATGGGAATGTCAACATGCTCTGCAGAAGACATCCCAGAGAAATCAGGCATTTCTTCATCCTGATAAGGAGCAGCACCCTCAGCAGCATTCTGAGGAACATTTGCTGAAACAGTGGGTGCAGCAGCATCTTCTGGAACAGGTGCAGCAACACCTTCAGAAACAGGTGCAGCAACACCTTCTGGAACAGGATGTTGAGAGGCTGCTGTTGCCATGCTGGGCTGAGATGTCTCCCCCTGAGTTGATGCTAGGGGAGGTGAAATGTTGGATGATGACTCGGAGGAGCTGGAGGATAGAGCTTGAGCCTCTGGTGCTGCAAAAGTAGGATCCCCTGCTTCATCATCAGTTTCTTCATCTACCAAATGGAGGCCTCGTCGTGGATTTGGCCGAACTAGAGTGCGGCCACCTCTGCCTCCTCTTCTTCCACCTCTGCCTCCTCTTCTGGGAGAGTTTTCTCCCCTCCGGCGTTGTGGTCCAGCCGTATTCAGATCTGGGAAGGGGTTCATGCGCTTGGACCGGCGAGTTGGAAATCTTCCGGCAGTGGAAGAGGGACCCACGAAATCGAAGTTGTCTGGGTCAATCGGATTCAGCTCGTCTCCCGGTTCAATGTAGCTGATAGGAAGAGCATCAAGGTTGACCGGATGAACAATGATGGCCAGATTTGGGTCTGCCGGTTCAGGTGCTGCAGCATCGTTGTGGACATCATCTTCGGCTGGAAGGGGATTTCTAGGTGGAGATGCCATGATACAGTAGATAAAAATTTCTTCTTTGTGCTTTTGATTTGAAGGTGTGAATTTTTGAAAGATTAAGCACGAAATTTATAAGCCCTAATTTTTGCTGAGAAAAATCGAAGTGGAGAAGATGAAGAAGTGGGGTGCGTTTTTCTTGGAGAAAGTGTGATTAAGGAGAATAACACTTCCTTTGGCAGTTTAAAGCAAAACGTGACACATGGCACAATAAGGAGTGGACTTAGTGGAAAATAAAAGACTAACCCATGAACCCCATGACCCGTATAAATAGTGATAATTCAATATAAATAATAAAAATAATATTTATCACTCACGAAATATTCACAAAAATAGAAAAACCGATTTATTAATGATTAATAGTATGAGAAAAAATTGGCTAACAGGCATAGATTGTATTATATATATATATATATATATATATATATATATATATATATATATATATATATATATATATATATATATATATATATATATATATATATATATATATATATATATATATATATATATATATATATATATATATATATATATATATATATATATATATATAGTTTGACTTATGTGAGTGTAATTATTCCCCAAATGTTTACATGAAGCATGATCACGTTTCAAGGTGAAAGACTTCCAGTTACTTATTTAGAAAAATAATTCATCACAGTGAAGTCATTATTTAAAGAAGCTAAGCTTCAATAAATTATGTTGCAGCTTAAGATATTTGATGAGGTGCTGCAACATTTTTCAGGACATGTTTATTGAGTACACATCCCGAGAGATTTTCTGAGTTTAGAAAACCTCTCATAATCTAATGCCTTTGTAAAGATATCAGCCAGCTGATCTTCTGTAGGAATGTACTTTAAGCACACTATATTTTTCTCAACTATATCACGAATAAAATGATGTTTAATATCTATGTGTTTAGTTCGTGAGTGTTGAACAGGATTTTTTGAAATGTCAATAGCACTTGAATTATCACAATATATGGTCAGGGTATCACTGGTCAACCCGTAATCTCCCAACATTTGTTTCATCCAAATTAGTTGACCACAACACCCTCCAGCAGCTACATATTCTGATTCAGCTGTTGATAGAGATACACAATTTTGCTTTCTACTAAACCAAGAAACCAGATTATTCCCCAAAAAGAAACATGCACCTGAAGTGCTTTTTCTGTCACTAATATCCCCAGCCCAATCAGAATCACTAAAACCTATCAAGTTTGTGTTTGTGTCTTTGAAAAACTGAATCCCTAAATCTACTGTACCTGCAACATACCTAATAATCCTCTTCACAGCTTTAAGATGAGTGACTTTGGGATTAGCTTGATACCTGGCACACACACAAACACTAAACATAATGTCAGGCCTGCTTGCTGTTAGATACAAAAGGCTTCCAATCATGCTTCTGTATAGAGTGCTGTCAACATCTTCTGCAACATCATCCTTGGACAGCTTTTGACTGGAACCCATTGGAGTTTTCATGTGCTTGGCTGACTCCAACTCAAATCTTTTGACCAGATTGAGAGCATACTTCTTTTGATTTACAAACATTCCTTCACCTGTTTGTTTGATTTGGAGTCCTAAGAAGTAATTCAACTCCCCTACCATGCTCATTTCAAAAGTGTGAGACATAGAATCTACAAAAGACTGTAAAAGATTAGCACAAGTAGAGCCAAAAACAATATCATCAACATATATCTGAACAATAATGATATGATTATTTGTTCTTCTAATAAATAGAGTTCTATCTGCCTCTCCTCTATTGAATTGTATGTCAAGTAAGAAGTCAGTGAGTCTTTGATACCAAGCTCTAGGAGCTTGTTTAAGACCATACAGTGCCTTCTTAAGCTTGAAAACATGATTAGGCTTGGCAGAATCTTCAAAACCCTTGGGTTGTTCTACATATGCTTCCTCATTCAGAACCCCATTCAGAAATGCACTTTTGATATCCATCTGATACAGTTTGATTTTAAGAAAGCAGGCAATAGCAAGAAGTAATCTAATAGATTCAATTCTAGCTACTGGAGCAAAAGTCTCATCAAAGTCTATACCCTCAATTTGGGTATAACCTTGTGCTACTAACCTAGCCTTATTTCTAACCACTGTACCTTTTTCATCAGTTTTGTTTTTGAAGATCCACTTAGTTCCTATCACATTTACATGATTTGGTCTGGGAACTAAGTACCAAACATCATTTCTGATGAACTGATTCAACTCTTCATGCATTGCATTTACCCAGAATTCATCCTTCAGAGCTTCTGCAATATTTCTTGGTTCTACTGAGGACACAAAACAAGTGGTTCCACTTAGTGCACATTCAGAAGATAAATTTGCAAATCTTACCATATCTCTGTAGTTTACTCTCTCTTTTCTTCTGGTCCTCATTCCATCAAAGATATCTCCCACTACTTGAGTAGATGGGTGATTTTTCTGAATTCTACTTGAGGGTTCCTTTCTGCAGACATCAAGGGTTGGCTGCAATTCAGTTTCTGGATGGTGTACTGAGTCCGATGTGGTAACACTTGGCTCAGCACCTTCTTCTCTCGGACCTGGACTGTCTGTATCTGGATCATCTGTGGTAGAAATGACTTCTTCGGTTGTTTCTCTTTCAGCAATTAAATCATCAACTTCATCTTCAGCTGTTTTACTGCGAAGATCAGCAAAATCATCAAATACCACATTTACAGATTCAATAATGGTTCGAGTTCTTAGATTATATACTCTATAAGCATGACTGTTGTTAGAGTATCCCATAAACAAACTCAAATCACTTTTTGAATCAAATTTAGCTAGATGATCTCTATCATTTAGAACATAGCAGACACATCCAAACACATGCATGTATTCTAGATTAGGTTTCTTACCATAAAGAATTTCATATGAAGTCATCATAGATCCTAATCTTAGATACACACGATTTGAGATGTGACAAGCTGTGTTGACAGCCTCAGCCCAAAACCTCTTAGACAGATTTTTTGCACTCATCATCACCCTAGCCATTTCTTGGATGGTTCGGTTTTTTCTTTCAGCAATGCCATTTTGCTGAGGAGTTTTTGGAGCAGAAAATTCATGCTTTATACCCTTTTTATTACAAAATGCAAGAAATAAAGCATTCTCAAATTCTTTTCCATGATCAGATCTAATTCTACGAACAGAAGCTTGAAATTGAGTTTTCACAAACCTGTACAGATTTCTGAACACTTCAAAAGTGTCTGATTTTTCTCTTAAAAAATACACCCAAGTATACCTTGAAAAATCATCAACACATACAAAGACATATTTTTTACCACCTAGACTTTCTACCTCTATAGGACCCATAAGGTCCATATGTACAAGTTCAAAACACATAGTGGTACCAACGTGTTGCAGCACTTTGTGTGGTACTCTGGTTTGCTTTCCCTTCTGGCACATTCCACATATAGGAATATCCTTGATCTTGAGGTCTGGTACTCCTCTTATGGCATTGTATTTGTTGAGCAGCTTCAGATTTTTGAAGTTTGTGTGTCCTAGCTTCTGGTGCCATAGCTCTACTTCACTTACTCTTGAGCTCTTGCAAGATATGGTGTCACCAGTTTGATAGCAATTATCCATTGATCTGGAACCTGTCAATACACAATGATTTTGGTTTTCAAACACTGAACAACAGTATTTATCAAACTCTACACGTAGATCATCATCACACAATTGACTGATACTGATGAGGTTTGACCCCAATCCTTCAACATGTAAGACATTTGAAAGTTTTGGGAGTCCCTCAATACTGAGTGTTCCACGTCCAACCACTTTGCCTTTAGCTCCTCCTCCATAGGTTACACGTCCTCCATTAAGTGTGTGGTAGTTTGATAGAAATTCCTTTGTTCCAGTCATGTGCCTAGAGCATCCACTATCAAAGTACCATGAACCTGAAATGTTAGCATTTAAAGAGGTGTATACTGCTTTGCACAAAAGTTTACCTTTGGGAGTCCATATTTTACACTCCCTTTTGGTACATTCTACCTTTTTCTTTGAAGTGTTCCCTGGAGTGATGTGCCTTATTTTGTACAACATCTTGTCACTGCTGAGTTTTTGACAAAATGGACGAATATGTCCTGGTGAGAAACAGTAATGACAAATGTATCCCCTTGTTCTGGATTATGAAGTGGTGACAGTGAGATTCCTGGATTCCTTGTCATTTGAACCCTTCTCTTTGACAAAGACAATTTCTTTCTTCTTTACTGGCTTGTGTTTCTTCACTTGTTTCTTGAACCCTAGACCTTCCTTTTTGTTGTACTTTTCCAGTGACACAATCTCTTCGAGTTTAGTTGTGCCGGTATTCATCCTCTTGATTGCTAGAGTTGCTTCTTTGAGTTCATCTTTCACCTTTGCCAGTTCAAGATCCTTTTTGGTGATACCAACCTCCAAATGTGTGATTGTTTCTTTAAGGGAAGAATTTTCCCTGTTGGCTGCATCTAGAGCTTGAGTCGTCTTCTCCAGGTTTCTGATCAGCTTCTTACATATTTCTTCATCATCACTGACTGCTTCATTACTGGATTCTGCTGTATTCACAGAAATAGAGTTTAAACATGTATAATGATCAGTACTTAACTCACAAACTGAAAGTGTTTCAGAAAGTGTTGCAGCATCCAGAGAGACTCCTTGGGATTCTGTTTCAGAGAAACTTCCAGTAAGATATCTGACAGAAAGAGCTTGTTTAGAGGATTGCTGTTCCTCTGTCTGTTCAGGTTGTTCTTCCTCCTCATCACTGACAGCACAAATCAAACTCATTCCTCTTCTTCTCAAGGTGTTTGCACATTCATTAGCATAATGTCCAAACCCTGAACAAGCCCTGCATTTAATATGATCCAAGTTAGGTGGTTCAGAATTTGAACGAATAAATGAAGAGTTTTTTAAAGTGTTTTGAGAAGATGTTTGAGGAAATGTTTTATGTGGAATAGATCTGTTCCGGGGCTGAGTTTGTCTGTTTTATGGAGAGCCTTCTGGAAATAACTGTCAGGGCTTGATTCCACTTCGTCTGTACGCCCTATTGAATTTCTGAATTTGAAATGCCACATTGTTGAGACATTTTTCTGCCTCATCATCATATTCCAGAGCAACATCTTCCTTTTCTAATTCTGCCTGGAGTGCATTTGAGATAGCCTTTCCTTTCTCCTTTCTTTGATCTTCGAAGTTCATCCTTTGGACTTGAGACTACCAATTAATTCGTCCAGCCGTAGAGATGATGTATCTTTAGCCTCCTCAATAGCAGTAACCGTCATGCTGAACCTTTCTGGAAGAGTTCTCAATACCTTATTCACCAGTGTCTCGTTGCTCAAAGGACCACCTAAGGATTGAAATTCATTAGCCAAATCAATCAATTTCTCATTGTACTGAGAAATTGTTTCAGTTTCCTCCATTCTCAGTCTCTCAAATTTGGAAGAGAGTAGTCTGAGCTTGGTTCTTCTGACACTATCTGATCCCTCACAATGTAGCTGAAGAACTTCCCAAGCATCCTTCGCATAAGTGCATACAGAGATTAATTTAAACATTGTTAAATCTACTGAATTGAAAATTGCATTTAACGCCTTTGAATTTTGGTTAGCATTTGCAAGATCATCTGGTGTCCACCGTAATTCTGGAGTTGGAAAAAAATCTCCGTCCACATCTGTGATAGTTGGTGGCTTCCATTCAGTGAGAATAGATCTCCATGCTCTCTCATCAATGGCTTTGATGTATGCCCTCATCTTGACTTTCCAGTAGGTGTAGTTAGTGCCATCAAGTACAGGAGGTCGCATAGAAGCAGTCATCTGAGTATCCATCACGAATTCGTTTCTGTAAAGAAAATAGGAACAAACACTTAGTATACGTCAAGTGTTGGCTCTTGATGCCAATTGAAAGAATTTATGGTCCCGAATTCGTATTATACAGAGATGTTATCTAAGATGTTATGACACTTGAGACAACATGCAGCGGAAATATAAAGATTAAAAGCCAATGCTCAGAATTGAAAAATGTTCACAAGTAAATACTTGTGAACTTGCCCTTTACAGGACGGAAAAAATATATTAAAATTAGTATTCTAAGAATACAAACAGAAGAGGTGCGAAAACTTCTTCCTTATGAATGAATCTTTTTCAAGATCACTCTTACAATCAAATCTAGATACTAAAAGAAAAATATTAAAAATTCTAGATTTCAAAGAATGTACTCATAAGGAGTACGTACAACAGATCCTAGAAAACACACTAAAATTCTCGAGATTAAAACTTTAGCTCTATATTGTTTCCTCGAAATCTGTAGGGTTCTTGAGTCTTGAGTTTGGTATTTATAGACTTGCCAAGCTTCCACTCCTCAGCCCATGATCTGCAAGAAAACCAACCACAAGAGCACTCAAGATAATGGGTTAGTGGGTTAGTTAGGAAGTTAAAATAAAACCCACAATTAAACCCACTAATCACAACTTAACCCACTAAGTCATAACACTTAGCCCACTAAGTAATAACTAAAATTTAGTTTGAAAGTAAGAGAGTTAAAAAACACTTTTGTAAAATATAACAACGTGTTTCACATATATTTATTTGAAAATTCCCGATGGATTTAAAATGCCAAACTCTGGCGCTCCTCGTGAGCTACACTCAATCAAATTACAGAGATCATTGTATGGTCTAAAGCAATCCGGTCGCATGTGGTATCATAGATTGAGTGAATACCTTATCAGGGAAGGTTATAACAATGATCCTATTTGCCCGTACATTTTTGTTAAATGATCAGAAACCGGATTTGTTATTATTGCGATTTATGTAGAGACATGAACCTCATTGGCACTCCTGAAGAGTTGGCCAATGCTGCGGAATATTTAAATAAAGAGTTTGAGATCAAAGACCTTGGAAAACCCAAACTTTGTCTTGGTATTGATCTTGAGCATAAAAATAACGGCATACTTATACACCAATCTGCATATACTAAATGAATGCTCACAAAGTTTAATATGGAAATTTCTAATTCATTGAGCACCTGGGTGCGCAATTTAGATCCTGAAAAGGATCCGTTCCGACCTAAAGAATTTAATGAAGAGATACTTGGTCCAGAAGTGCCGTATCTTAATGCTATCGGAGCGTTATTGTATCTAGCACAATACACTCGACTTGATATCGCTTTTGTGGTAAATGTGCTTGCGCGATACAGTTCTGAGCCTACCCGGAGACACTGGAATGGTGTTAAACATATTTTTCGATATCTCCGTGGTACTGCAGATTTGAGATTATTTTATTCGAAAAATTCAACTAACCAAGGGTTAGTTGGTTATGTCGATGCGGGATATAGATCTGATCCCCACAAAGCTCGCTCACAAACTTGATATTTGTTTTGTTATAATGGTGCAGGTACATCTTGTTGATTTACCAAACAAGCAGGCCCAATTACATGATAATGTTAATTATATAGTGCAGGGAAGAGTTAGATAAACAAAGGGCGGATACATTAAATGTGATAGGACCAAATATATATCACCAAAGTTCTTTCATACGAATGAGCTTCAGATAATGGAGAGATCGATGTTCGACAAATTCGCTCATGTGGCAATCTTGCTGATTTGTTTACAAAGTCCTCGCCGACTTCTACGTTTGAGAAGTTGGTATACGCCATTGGAATGAGAAGAGCCAATGTGAAGTAAGATTGACGACCCATTTTGGAAGCTATATTGCTCATTCCAGGGGAGCAATGGTGCGCTACACTCTTTTTCCCTTATAACTGGTTTTGGTCTTATTGGATTTTCCAGCAAAGGTTTTTAACGAGGCAGCTTCTGCACACGGCTTGGATTGAGTTATGCACTTTTTTTCCCTTATGTTTGGTTTTGTCCCACTGAATTTTCCGACTTGAGGTTTTTAACTAGGCATACATTTATGTTTTACTCATCCAATTTAAAGGTATTACGAAAGATACTTAGTCCAAGGAGGAGTATTATAATTAGATTATCTTTGTATCTATTTCTAATTTTTATTCATTAGAAATTTGTGCATGTTTTATAAATTAAATTCCGGCAACTGCCATCTTGGTCATTGTAATAGTCAATTTAAATATTTTCTCTCTCTAGATCTCGCTTTTCTCTCTCTCTCCCAACATCATTTTCCCAAAATCAGCCAAAGGAGAAAACAAACAAAAATAATTGGAGTTCCGTATAATAAATTATGTCGGACGCTTTGATCAACGGCCTCGCCGGTGCCGGCGGTGGAATCATAGCTCAGCTGATTACTTACCCTCTCCAAACAGTACGATATTTCAACTTCCGTTCCATTTTTTTGTTGCTTCGTTTGCTTGTTACTTGATCGAATTTTTTGTTAATCCGATTTCTTATTCTGTAAACTTTTTCTATAGATTATGTCTTTTTTTTTTCGCTTTTCGTTTATCTTTTGGGAAACGATGAACCGTGTATGTGATGATCGCCTGTTGTGTATTAGGTAAATACTCGGCAACAAACAGAGAGAGATCCGAAGAAGGAGAGGAAGAAGAAACTTGGGACTGTTGAACAAATGTGTCAGGTCTTTTTTAATTTTTTTTTTTCAATTTTCAAAGTTTACAATTGACCTTTTTCTTTTCAGTTTTCTCACAAGTATTAAACATGTAGAAATATGATTATGTTATGTGTGTAGGTTGTCAAACAAGAAGGGTGGGATCGGCTTTACGGAGGATTAGCTCCGTCTCTCGTCGGCACCGCCGCTTCTCAGGTGAGCCTCTTTTACCTCATCCTATTTACTGCTTCTAGTTTAGCAAAGTAAAAGGCAGGGACTTTATTTTCATGTGGTAAAATTTCGGGTCTAATGTGCTATTATTTGCTGCGAAGGGACTTGAATGTAAAATGAATAGTTTTACCTGTTTGCCAACCTTCTGAAGTAGCATTGAGTGAAAATTTAAGACCGAGGAAAAGGAAAAAGAAAAAAATATTATGTAGGGGGCATGTGGTCCCATGACATTGTAGTGTGTGCCATTGACTGCAAAAATTATATGCAGCTTATTTATTTTTGTTGTTGCTAGTCATAGTCCTCAGTATGGTATAAACAAATAAAAAATACTCCTCTCATAGAATCAATCTAAATTATCCAGAGTCCTGACCCTACATTATCTTACAAAGTTATTATTGGAGACCACGTCGATGAGATTATTGCGACGTATGCTAATTCTTTCGTCTTTGTATAGTCAAGGTTGTAGGAATGGAGTTTATAACGGAAATATGTATTGATATTTGAATACGGTATATCATTAATACTGCAAAGCCTTAACAATATGCTAATCAAATACATCATGACAGTTGACACTAATCTATTTGCTCACTATCAGATATCCGCCTGCTTGCTTGAACAAAGTACGTTCGTACTTTCTGACCGTATATGTGTGGAATTCATATCAAATATCTACTCTTATCTCCTAAGTTTGTTTCACTAATGAGCCCTTTCTCAATGTTCTTGATAGCTGTACGTATGACCTTTGTCTGTTTCTTATGTAATTGCACTTCTATGGTACAGGGTGTTTACTATTATTTCTATCAAATATTCAGGAACAAGGCTGAAGCTACTGCCCTTGAACGGAAAAAGAAAGGCCTCGGTGATGGATCAGTTGGAATGCTCTCGTCGCTTGTGGTTGCTGCTCTATCTGGGTAATTGATTTTTCCATGTATTCCTTGTTATGAGTTATTAATCCAAACTTAGTACATACAAAATTTCTAATTTCCATGTCTTCCATACTCAATACTGCTGTAATTGTTTGGGGATTGGTGTGTGGGGTAATTTTATGCTGTGCATTCTATAATATTTTTCTTTTTGATTATTGTGCAAACCCAGATTTTTCTTGGCAGTAGTTATTATGTATCTATTGTAGTGCTTTTAGGGTTTGGGGTTTAAGTTGGTCATCATACAACCAAATACACTACCTTTTAGAAGCACTGTCACAATTTGTTAAGTAATCTATGCAACCTTTTGGTGCTGGATGTTATTGTTATTATATCATTTCTCTTTCAAAGAGAATTTTGAACTTACTAAACTTGCATAGAGGTTTACCCGTTTTTAAAGCAAAAAACATGTTTTACGTACATTATTAAAATGTAATTTCATGGTAAAAAAAAATTAGATCAAAGAGACTACTGGATACATAAGGAACTTTTATTTGAATAAATAGAACATTCGTTGCACTGTGGTGGATAATATGAGGTAATGAACCTGTAGTTTTTAATGAGATGATGTACTTCTAAGAAAAGAATACCGGTTATTGTATGAAGTCTTATCATATGTATTCTATTTTATATTTCTCTAGTTGTTTCTTGGACTGATCCTATTATTTGTTGAGCATCTTTAGACTCAGCATTGGCAAAGGGCATGTTCATGTCAAGCTCAAGTTAACTTAAAAATTCATGGTTAGGGTTCTCCTTGCTGGATCCTCTATATTTGTGGCCCTTGTGTTTCAGAAGTCCATTATTTTGGGACAACTCCTACACTAATTCACTTGAGATATTGAGATGCTAATACTATTACGAGTCAATTTGTATCAATGATTTGACAATTTTTTGCTGTCTATATTGGCATGGTGAACTCATTCAGAAGTTAGGTTCTCGAAAATTAATTGTGATCTGCAGTTCACCTCTGACAGTTTCTTAACTTATCCAGCCTATTATGTTATGTTTAAGTAAATTTGTAATAATGGGTGTAACAGAACAAATCATCTTTTTACCCTGGGCAATTTTTTCTTCTCAATTTGTTATTGCTTTGTCGATTTTCCTTGGGAGAATCAACTGTATATCTGGTAGCTCAATTACTACAAAATTTTATTGATTTCTATAGCTTCTTCGATCTGCATACTTGAGGTAGATGTAACAAAAAAATTGCGATAAGTTTAAAACATTTTACTCTGCCTGAAATTTTACGTTTTTGTTTCACCAAGTAAAATACATCTTTCTGCAGATGCTACTATCTCTCTCTTTTTTCCTTTTTGTATAGGAATAAAGGTGAGATCAGCTTATTGTAGTATTCTTCTTGATTTTGTGTGTTAGAAGTAGATTTTGTTTGCAGATAGCGGCCAAATGACCTTTACTTCTTTCCTTTTCTGTAGGTGTGTAAATGTGCTGCTGACAAATCCCATATGGGTTGTTGTGACTCGTATGCAGGTAAAGTAAAACCTCCCTTGTGAGGAAAGTCTTCAATAAAAATATCATTGCATTAATTGTTTGAACTGGCCCTGTAACTATTGCAGCTTACTCTTCAGGTTTAGTATTTGACGAGTTTCTTTGGGTGATGTTTTCCTCTGCCAATTTGTAGAGATTTCATGAATTGCTAAGGATCTCCACCTATCTATTTATTTATGTAACTAACTAATAGAGAACAAACTTAGCATGCAAAGGAACGCTTATAACTTTGATAGAACAAGTTCTGAAAATACTAGAAAACTCAAGAAGCTTCTCGAGAAGCCCATAATTCCCAGGCCTTGAACCAAAGCTAATTTTCGTTTATATTTTAGAATGACATCTAACAATGAGGTCTCATTTTAAAGCTGCGTTTGAAATTGAAACCAAGTCAAAAGCTATGTGGCTCCTGCATTTGGGCTCCTATTAAAAGTTTCATATTATGCGTACATCTTCAACTTATTCTTGGTAACGATCTTGCAGACTCACACGAAGAAAAGCCAACCAAATCGTATTGGTTCTCTAGCTTCAGAGGAATCAATCATTGCTGCAGTGGAACCTCCTCCTTTTGGCACTAACCATGCGGTATGTAGTGAAGTTGAAATTTTGACCCATAAGTAAACTGTTTCAGTCAAGTAGCTACTCAATCTGTTGTATGTTGACCTTAGTCTAATATCAATATCTCTACAAAAGAATTACATCAGTTGTCTTCAACATAAGGCTGGGGAAAGAGAATAGCTGGCTGCATTTAATGTGCATTCTTAACACATAAATAAATAAATTATGTTCGTCCTTGACTTTGGTTTAACTTCTTTGATACCTAACACAGAAAACCCAACTTCATTTTGATAACTAGAATATGTTCCTTTACGCAGGTTCAAGAAGTTTACGATGAGGCGGGATTCTTGGGATTTTGGAAAGGTGTTTTCCCCACACTGATAATGGTATGTGTAAATTTATTATAGGTATTAGCGTGTGGGTATTTATTGATTGATCCTTCCTGTTGTCACAGGTGAGCAATCCTTCAATACAGTTTATGCTGTACGAGACTTTCTTGAAGAAGCTGAAGAAACAGCGTCTTTTGAGTAGTAAGGGTAACAATGTATCCGCTTTGGAGGTGAATTTTTTTTTTTTTTTTTTCTCGAGTATTCTAATACTTTGGTATCTCACATTGTTCCCGCTTTATTTTTTTCGACGTTGTTTTCTGATATTACCTCTAAAAATGGTGGCTAGATATTTTTGCTAGGAGCTTTAGCAAAACTTGGAGCTACAGTTGTGACATATCCTGTTCTGGTTGTGAAGGTAAAATTTATTAAAGTCTAATGTTTCGATAAGGTAGCGCTCATTTCTTGTAATATTAAATGAAACTTGAATTTTCTTTTACTGCAGGCAAGACTTCAAGCGAAACAAATAACTGGTGGAGACAAAAGGCATCAGTACAGAGGTTTGTACTTGTGGTTCTATTTTCTATTGGCCTTAATATACGATGCTTTTTACTTCCGTACCCTGCACTAGTTGATTTAGGAACAAGCTTGCATATAACAGACTGCTTTGTTTGGTAATTATGGTTAAGCTTTGATAGACAATATAATCAAAACTTTGTCAAATGTTTTGGGTTTAGGTTTTGAGCCTATGATAGAAAACAGCCTTAAATTTTAAATAAAGAATATGAATGATAATTAGTCCTCACAAATCCCAACATAAAACAATCACATATTAGATTATCACAGACAATGTAATCGTAACCACCAATTCAATCAATGTTATAAATCATAACAACATTCTTAAAACTAGTGGTTCACGTAAGGGCTGGCTTGTATTGTTAGAGTCTAAGGCTTCGTTTGGTTGGGGGGATTAGCATGATAAACTAAATAATAGGACTTTGTTTGATGTTTGGTATACCCAATAACTTTCCGGGTCGACCCGGAAATATTATGTTATCGTGGCTAATCTTGTCCTTTAGGGAGTTTTTTTTTTTTTGGGACCTTCCACGGTTCAATAATACAATTGGATTTCATAAGATTGTTCTTGGCAACCAAACGAGGCCTAAGAATAAACTGTATTTCCTCTTTACAATGTGCAGGCATGCTGGACGCTATACTTAAAATGATACAATACGAAGGATTTAATGGTTTTTACAAAGGTATGGGCACAAAGATTGTACAAAGTGTTCTTGCAGCTGCTGTTTTGTTCATGGTTAAAGAAGAACTTGTCAAGGGTAGTCGATGGTTGTTAACAAGGGGGGCTATTGATTCCGTAAAACCAAAGCTCAAGTAGAAAAGTTAAGTTACCCTGGTATGTGTCACCTCCACAAACGGACCTATACATTTTAATAAACCTGAAACACTGTCTAAAATCGATGAATAGTAGCATTATATTGTGTAGCACATTTATGTGCCACGTCACTAAGAATACCACCGTTCCGATATGGTGAAAAGATCGACATGTTCAAGAGTTAATAGTTTAGCAGATATGATCGAAAATCGTGATACAATGTATTCAACCATTTATCCGTCCAATAATGTTACATGTTGTAGTTGGTTAGTAGCCCTAGTCTCGGAAGCTGCGATGTTATTGAATATTGACGATGGATGCATCGTTTCGTTTGAAAGTATTGGTAACGAAATTAATGATATTATGTAAATTAAAAGCTGTTTTATGGCAAACACGATGCGTAACTGTATTTCTATTGATAAATGATATTGCATTAAGAAACGGAGAAGGAAAAGACAGTATAATGGGGAAACATCCATTACAAAAACAACAAATAGGTAAAGAATAATTCGAAACCATTTGACAGAGCAAGCCAATTTCGTGTTCTGTTTCGATTTATTTTCTTATATATTCTGCAGTGCACTACCTACTTCTTGTTACAATTTAGAAATCATGCCCTAGTCGTAACAAAATATGCATGTGCCATTGACGAAAAACTAAAACAACATTTCCACGAACAAGAGAGAAGGTAAAAATCAATGAGTTTCATTCGTCATAGTCTCCGTGAAGGGACAAATTCCGAATATCTTAGTAAATGATCCAACTATGATGTGTAATAATCTTCAAAAAACACCAATGTGTAATATCTAAATAGCAAAAAACCCTATGAAACTATTTATATGCACACTCGGCCCATTATTCATTTTAGTATTGACTTGATATAAAAAGACACAAATACCCCCAGGTTTTGTAATTATTAAATTCTTATATTTTATAAATATTTTAAGTATTTTATTTTTGTTATATCTTACTTAGAAAAGTACAATGAGTCTTTTATTTCTATTTTATTATCATATGATTTTTGTATATATTTTAAATTATCCTTACGTAAAAAAGAAAACTTAAATTTCATTATTATGTATTTCTTTATTTTGTATGAAAAAAACCTATACTTCATTTGATTACCAAAATTTCAGTAACTTTTCAATATAATTGCTTATTATTTTTTTAATAATATTTTAATTTCTAAACAATCAAATTAAAAAGAAAATATATATATACATATAAATACATTTTGATGGACATTTTCATCATTTCACGTCCAAAAATAATTACCAGCCGCACATTCAACAAGTGAGCGACACGAAAGTCAATTGGAGGGGTTTTTGCATTTGACTAAATTTCACAGGGGGTTGTTGCTATTTAGAGATTACACATGTGTACTTTTTGAAGTTTACTCATATATATATACAACCACCCCTGAGGTATGGTTAAATTACCAAAAAAAAAACCCTCTTGTTTGGATAATTACATCTACCCCTCAACTATGATTTTTTCTTACACTTCCACCCTTATGGTGTCAAATTCAACATAATCATCTAGATTTCGTGGAATGTGCTCTAGTTTGTATTTGTTTTGTGTAAAAACACAGGTTCTCATGCACCACAATTTGATATACACAAGCCAAAAAACACATATTATAATCATCTTGCTTCAAAATGTGGAGTTCAATGGGATAAAACGGGTACAAAAGTGATAATATTCCATATAATCTCGAAGATTCCACTAAATTTGAAACCGCAAGGGTGAACATGTAAGAAGTTTTATAGTTGAGGAGGTGGTTTTAATTACCCAGACAAGAGGGGGGTTTTCGTAATTTGACTATACCTCAGGGGCTGGTTGTAGTTTACCCTATATATATTATAAAAACATATTTTTTATTTAAAAGTAAAAATATATTTTTTAAATTTTAAAAGTATAAATATTTTTTTAAGATTTTATAAGTATATATATTTTAATTTGTTTTTAAATCATTTATTAAAAATGAGAATAATTATAAATAGTAATTGCACAATATCCGATTAACCATCGAACCAGATCGACGGTTCACTCGAACCGGCCGTAAACCTCCATATTCACGGTCCAATTCAGATTTACTCAAAACATAAACCTGAACCGCCGGTTCCGAACCAAAACCGGCCTAGAACTAACCGAACCGTGGTCAGGTTGAGAGTAGTTTAATCTTTTCTAGATTTTTTTCATAGAAAGATGTTACTGGATTTACGGATCAACATGAGTTAGTTAAATTATGTCATTATAGTAAAACAAATCTTTCACTTGTATTCTTGATGATGTTAGTCTTTTTAAAGCTTCACTAGAGTCAAAGTAAGTTGTGGCTGATAATTGATTTAAATTAGGGGCTATTTGAAAAAACCACCTTATTCAATTTCGGTTCAACAATAAATTCAAATTTAAATCCTATATTTGAGATAACTCCTTTTCATAAGAAAATATCATTAATTGTATTTTTATCAATTTTGCTCATTATCACTCTTAACTAGTTAATAGAAAAATAATTAATGACAACAGTATTTTAGTATTTACTATATTATTTTTGGTAATATATGTGTATTTATTGAGTTTCTAAATATGCGCGCAACTGAACAAAACATCATATTATATCTAATATGGGATGGAGGGGATATTATGAAAAGTAGGGGTGTGCACGGGTCGGTTCGGTTCGGTTTTAGCCAAAAACCGAACCGAATCGAATATATCGGTTTTTGTAAAATTAAAAACCGTGTATGTCGGTTTTTTATCGGTTCGGTTTCTTTCGGTTTCGGTTCGGTTTCGGTTTTTTTCGGTTCGGTTTCGGTTATTTTTCGGTTCAAGTGTCAATATATATTCAAGTTGTACAAACAAAAAAAATACAATTACAATTACTTTCACAACTTACTAATGCAATGAAAATATAAAATCTTTAATTTCATAGGAATTAACGTAATTTAGATGATGTATTATGCTTCATTTTTTTTTCCTACTTTCATCTACCACATTATTAAAACCATGAACTCAAGTAAATTTTTACTTACTAAATAAATAAAATACAATGTCTAAATTTATTAACAAATGCTTAGAATGAGACAAGTAATTGAAAGATAGAAAATAAATATTAGGGTAAAATAATACATATATTATATAAAATGAAGTCATTTAATAGTTTCGGTTCGGTTCGGTTTTTCGGTTCGGTTATTTACCTTCCCACCATACCGAACCGAATAATTCGGTATTTCAAAAATAAAAAACCGTACATGCGGTTTGCTATTCGGTACGGTTTAAAACGGCTCGGTTTTTCGGTTTTTCGGTTCAGTTTTTCGGTTTTTCGGTTTTTTTGCTCACCCCTAATGAAAAGTCAATTAAAAAGACTTGTAGATATACAAATCACTTAAATTTAGTATTCTATCATAATATCTTTGTTATCCACTCCTCCTCAGCTACTCACCACTTCCAAGAAAATAGCAAAATCCTGAAATAAAGATGAGAAATAATAATGGCGGCTGTAGGAAACTCCTTAGGGTTTATGTGGGGTTTATAAACTGATCTAAACTACACTATACATTAACCTGGAAAATCGACAAAAGATGGGAGCATCAGCTTCCTTGTCCTTTTATGCTGCCAAAAGTATGTGAAGATAGGAAGGTTTATATATATGTGACACCTCCCATGCAAAGCTGGTGAACTCGCCTCGTTGGCCGAAACAGCAGAGAAAGAAAAACCGATGAAGCCGGCAAATTCAAAGTGGCAGCACTGGCGATGGGCGACGGCGGTGGCGGAGCCTTGGCAGCTGCAGACAGAACATGTAGATTAACTTCAAAAATTTATTTCTCTTAAAACATTCATGAAAAGCACTAATTAAAATGTTTTCCTTTTATTCTAGTATGGGTCTATATTAATCATTTATAATAGTTTTGAAATATATTTTGATAAAATTAATGTCTTGGAAACTACAAATTCCATATTTTCTATATCTTGGAAAATTGGATATTTATTATCTTTGAATATCTCTTTGTTTTCTCAAGAATGTCTTTTGATATTACGTAAGTTCTCTATATATAGAGACTCCATGTAATCATATTTTGGAATCAAGAAATAATAAGAAAAGTGTCTACCCAAACTAGAGGTGGCCTTTGTTCATATTCTTATCCACAAATACAAAATATAAACTTTAGTATTTCTCAATTCCAACAGATTGGCATCAGAGCCTGGTTGTTCATACAACTGGAGCGTCAAAATAATTCATTAAAAAACAAAAAAAAATCAGCCATGGCGAGTTCAAGCAACCAAGTTTCGAAAAATCTGCAACCGTCATTTCCTCTCTTCAATGGAGAAAGTTATGATTTCTGGTATGTGAAGATGAAAACAATATTCATCTCACATGATTTATGGGAGTACGTAAACCAAGGATTTGATGACCCGGAAGATTCTACCGGCCTTACAAACGAGCAAAAGAAACAATTAAAGGAGCATCAGAGGAAGGACGCGAATGCTCTAAATCTCATCCAACAAGGAGTAGCTGAGACAATATTTCCCAGAATTATCAACGCTTCAAAGGCAAAGGAGGCCTGGGATATTCTTCAAAAGGAGTATCGGGGCAACGACAAGGTCAGAGCCGTGAGACTCCAATCCCTGCGAAGAGATTTTGAAAATCTAAAAATGAAGAATGATGAGAGTTTAAATGACTACTCATCGAGAGTTGTGGATATTGTAAATCAAATGAAGACACTTGGCGTACAGGTTGATGATCGAAGAATTATCGAAAAAGTTCTCATTAGCTTGCCGGAAAAATACGATCCGATTGTAGCGGTGGTGGAAGAGACCAAAGATATTTCAAATCTAAGTTTGGAAGAACTTATGGGTTCAATAAAGGCGTTCGAGCAAAGATTGAGTAGGCGTTCGGAAAAATCCATTGAAAGCGCTTTTCAATCCAAGCTCACCATCCCAAGGCGAGATAACATTATCGGTGATCGAAACAACGGCGATTCTCACCGAGGTGGCAGATTCGGAAGAGGAAGAGGTCCAACTTCCAGAGGAAGAGGAAGAGGAAGAACCAACTTTGATCGAAATTCCAATTTCGAGTCAACTCAACAAAGGTGTGGAATTTGCAAAAGAGGCAGCCATGTTGATAAAGATTGTTGGTTTAAAGGTAAACCACAGTGCAACAATTGCAAGAAGTTTGGGCATGTTCAAAAGGATTGTCGAGTCAAGCTTAACCAACAAGCCAATTTTACCGAGGAACAAGAATGTGAAACGATGTTCTATGCATGTCAAACGGAAGTGGAACCACAAAACCAAGTTTGGTTTATCGATAGTGGTTGTAGCAATCACATGACGAGAGACAGAAATATTTTTGTCAAGCTCGATTCAGCCACAAAATCTCAAGTCAAGATGGGCA